TCTCCCTTTTCACTTAATCTATGCGCCAGAATAGGCGGGAAGACAGCTCATTTATTGCGAAACGAATAGAATCCCGAGCGAGAAGGCCTCGATTCGCTCGTTTACATTGTACGTAAACAATGAAAACTAAAAAAATATAAACTTCCGTTAAAAAAACAAAACAAAAACACTTAATATTCAATTTCTAACGCATATATTTGCAGTATAATTATTTTAATTAAGATTTCGCAGATTTGTTATTTTGCAATTTAAAATTTTAATTAAATTAAATAAACGCGCACACTTTTTTGTAAAATCGAATAATAACCATGTTTTCCTACCGAGAGAGTGAATTGAAATCTGATATTAATTGCACGGGTTTTAATTTTCGACTTGCTGTTTCTATATCCGTGCCTGTGCCACCAATCTACATAATTAAGTCACGTATCAGAGATATATTAATGTATTTCCTCTGACGTTTCGCAACGAGACCGCGTCTGGTGACGTGGGAGCGCGCGCAAGCACAATGCGGTCATATAAGTGCAAGGCACAGCAAGCACACAAGGCAGGTGCCGCTACCGCGAACACTGACGTCGTCGTCGTCGATTTAAAGCGGCCGTCGACGGGACGTAATTGGCTCGATAACAATCCGCGATCTGTGAGGCCGGCGGATGCGATTAAACGCGCGCCTGCCGTCGTAAGCGAGCCGTGATAAAGTAGGCCCGCATGCGGAATAACGATTGGAAACGTGTCATTCCGAAGCCACAAAAATCATGACATTCCACGCTTGAAAACCGAGAAACATGACGCATCCAAGTATACATCTGAGAATAAATTGTGATTTTTAGAAAATGAGGATAAAAATAACGCAATAATTTTCTCAATCTACGAATTTCGACCAAAAAAAAAAAAAAAAAATAAAGAAAAAAAAATTAGAGAGCAAGAACATAAAACAACACATCAGAGATTTTTCTCTCTCTTTTCAAAAAGAAAAAGAAACAATGGTACAATTATAAACTTTCCGGTAAATATGCTGGAAACCGATTCACACGTGCTTTTTCCGCTCTAAATATCTAAATGTCAGAGTCATCGACATTTATTGCGATTCACCCTATTTAGAATTGCATCAGAATGACGGAGCGCGCGCGCAAGGAACGCGTAGTCTATTTATTCGAGCGAGCTAATAAAACGGGGCACAATGCGCAATTTGGTCATCGTCGATGAATGGACGTAAATCCCACAAGACATTTTCCTCGACGCCCTCGTGATATAAATGGTAACCAGCGCTGCGCGCGCGCGCGCGCACAGTTGAATGGTGTTAGTACAACGATCGTTCGTTCTCCGTTACGAATCGAGCGAGCGCGCTATGAAAGGCATAAATCGCTATCGTTTGAGCGAGCGCGCGTGACTTTTATACACGCAAAACGCGATAATGGCGAGAAATACGTTCGCCGCGACTATTAAATGCACTCAATATGCACCTCTCTCCATCCTGGACGTTTCCTTTCTCTCTCGACGCGAAATAATTGCCTTTCGCGGAAACCATTCTCCGCTTGATGAATGAGCGTGTCGCGAACAAATATTTTTCTTGCTAATTAAAGCAATCGCTCGTTTACGTGTTAATCCATTAAAAACTTTCCGTGGCTGGGTAGTTATGTTTCAGTTTGTGTTGTTGTTTCAATGTTACGACAAAAATTTCATCATGCCGAGGCTTTATGCAAATCAAAATTACGAAAAGGCTCTTGTATATCATGTTCAAACTCGCTCGCTCGACTTTGTATTCAAGATTTCTTTCCGCAATCTATTTTAAATCGCGTCTCGCTCTTCTGAAGATTTAAATTAATGAATTAACGAGACGAAATCGAATTCAAATATTATGTAAGATACGTCAAAAATTCGCTTGGATGCGTTTAAACCAGAGAAGCGGTTGAAACTAGCGCGCGCCGCTATACACGGTTTTCTGAACAAAATACATATGTATGTACCTATATTTCGGTGATAAAACACTTGCGCAACGACCAAGTCTCGCGGGATTTGAAAGCAGAGCGTTTCAGAACGCCACTCGATAAAGTAAGAGGATGGGGGAAACACGTTTGTGATAAAAACTAATTTATAGGCAAACTGATGACGCATTATCGAGCTTGCACACAAGAGCTGCGACAGTTTCGACGTCGACGTTAGGGGCGTTATACGATTTATGGCAACAGGATGAGTGCTTGGTTGCTTATAGTCCACGGAACGATTACTGGCGCCGATATACCATTCATTATTTCTTTCGAAAGACAAGTGCGTGTTTCGTCAATAAAAAAAAAAAATTGTTATTCCGTTTTCAGTAAAAACAACTTTCTGAAGAAAAAAAAAGAGCACTATCTCAACTCAGAAAAATTACAAATCATCGACAAACGAATCACGAGACGCGATTCATCGGAAATATTGCCAGTCAACTTGCACAATACATGATAATATTAATAAAAATATTTTTTTCAATCTTTCTTATTTTTTTACAGTTTCTTTATGCATCAACTTACATAATACCTAATACGTAATAACATTAGCAAATACATTTTTTTTTATATATTTGTATCAGTTTTATATTTGTATCACTTTACGAAAAGGGAAAAAGAAAACACGGTATTATCGTCTACTATCTGTATATCTATTATCTATACATCTGCTACTGGTAAAAAAAATGTCCGAAGCTATCAGACAATTGTACTAGTGTAAATATATAATATTTCTGCTGTGTAATATATACATATACTGATAATATCCGAGAAGCGACAATCGTTATATTTCACCGAGTCAATGCGACAGGTCAATGTCGCACAATTCATCAGTTCTTATCCTAATAGTTGACTTCTCGCTCCCCGATAGTGTTATCATCTGTCAATTAGGCAAGTCGGATTCACGTTAAGTGCATACACGTCGTGTGCATATGATACACGATATTTTTAACCATCAGACAACAAATGGTCAAATCTTAAAAAATCCTATGGAAACTCGCGCGTGAAAACGAGCACGCGATAATTAAACACGTAAAACGTACCGTCGACGTAAGAAATACTTGACACGCACAGTGAAGTAGATACTAATAATAGCAGTTTCACGCGGCTTACGCAAAAGCTGAAGAGTTAAAAATCTATCATGTATCTCGACAGAACAAAGATCATATAGCAACAATGTGTATTACTACAAAATTCGTTATCAGACATGATATGTGATAATGAAAATACGTGATACGATAATGAAAATGTGTTTCGCGTTAATACACGATATTCCGGGAAGAACGTCGAAGTTATCTTTGCTGCATATAAAATATCAAGCCAATCTACGTGCAAAACTCTACATTTTTTAAGCTCTATCTACTACTGCTTCTCTCTCTCTCTCTGTTCAGACTCTTTCTCGTCGCGTTTGTACATGAAAACCAAATATGGAATGAATCGTAATACGCGAATGCGTATAATTTGCGCACCGCGCTATCAGGATTCTCGCGTATGCACGTACAAAACGGCTTTCGAATGTTATCTATTGCGAATTTCGAGTCTCTACGCAATCCGCAAAATCACTAACGCGCATCCACCTTGCATAGCACGAATAGAGCGCGCGAGCGGAACAGTCTGGCGGCGTTAAGTAATACATACGCACCGGCTGCTGATTGCAACCAGCGCGAGTGTGCACACATTTGCGCGACCCCTTCGCAAACAAATCTTTCAAGAGTTGTGTTATTTTTGGCGCGCGAATGTATGGTGTGTGTCAAGAGTCGTATTTTTCTTCTTTTTGATTAAATCGTAAAAGCTTACGATCGATTTATTCCAATCGAAACATCGAGGAAGATTCAAGCGGATATAGAAAATATATTGCGGAAAAAACAAACAAAAGGTCTGACAGTTGGCAGCGGAGAGAAAGTGTGTTCGGTGGCAAAGAAGGCATTTCTGATTTGAAAGAGGAGTTTCTCGAAATTTTTGAAGAAAAGAAAGTTGACTCTAAGCGTGGAAAAGTCGAAGGTAAAAGGAGAAAGGAGCAGTAGCTTTGAAACGGAATAGATATTGAGGAAATCGATCACTTCAAGTATTTAGGTTACAAAGAAATAACGGTAGAGATAAACACGTGAGGCAGACTTTAAAAAAAAAAAAAAAAACTATAAAAGCGCTAGAAAACAAATGTAGAATATAGGACAACAAAAAAAGTGATTTGCCGGTGACTTCAGAAGAATGTGCTCTTCACGCAAAATTTTTTTTTTTTTTTTTTTGATTTTAAAAACCTCGCCGCGACTGAGATGCAATAATATTCAAGAATATTATTTAAATCAACTCGCTAATTAAATGATAGCCCATTTAAGTAATATCCGCCAATTACAGCTAATACTTCGTCCTAGCGCAACTAGAAATTGCCCAGCTGTTCACCTCGCCTATAGAAGATTAATACTGTCTATTTAGACCAGATTGCATCGCGGCCAGGACTGTATGTTAACTAATCCTAGATTAGCTGCTGGCTCTCTATCCTTTTCTGCGTAATGACTCTCTCTCTATATGCGCAATACGGAGATTCGGTCAATCGGAATTATTACCCCCGTTCACGCGCACACACAACGATTTATATACAAAGAGATAATATCACACATTATATATAGAGATAAATATCATACATTATATATAAATGTATCTATTAAATAAATAATTAAATCGTTTGATGTAATATAATGATATCACTCTATTAAAACCTGGAGATATTCCGGAGCGACAAATTAAATCGGGATAAAATATATCATTATGTTAATTAAAAAATTATTCATGCGCAAATGTATCATATGTATCAATTCGATAATTAAAAACTGTCGGTTTGCGCAAGAGTTTCTCTTGTGTTCGAGAAAAACAATTGAAAAAAAAAAAAAGAATATATATGTATATAGGACGACGTGCTGGATGCGCCACGTAATTGTTACAAATCTTCCAGCTGAACATTCCAAAACGTTTCTCTACAATCCTCGTTCTCCGCGCACGAGATCTTACGTAATCCCTTACCTTTCTCACTTTAGCGTCGCTCTTCCTCAATCTTTCAGCAACGCCAGAGCTTGCGAGTCTTCGCAGTTCACCCACGTGTCAGATAGCTCATCTTCTCCCACTTTCTCTCTCTCTCTTTCTCTCTCTTTCTCTCCTTACGCCGATTTCTATCTCGTTCTTCCGGTTCTCCCTACCCCTCACATTAGTTCGTGAGCGGCAGCCTTGGCCTTTGAGATTTTCAAACGAGATCCATCGAAGCCTTCGTTCCCCTCGTCCTCTTTTCTTCCCCCTATTGATCCTAGAATATACATACACATGTGACTCTTTGCCACTCAAGAACGGTGTTCTGTGATGTGACGTGCCTATAACGACCCTTCTCTCTTGCTTAGTTCTTAAATTCTTCGGTTTTTCTTTTTTACTGTGTTTCAAAAAGTTTGGATACAATTTCATTTTTCTAACCATGGGACTACAAGAAACATTTTACGAACAAGATTTAGGTATAGGTTTTTACGTACGTGTGTGATTTATATGTTCCCTTTCTCTTTCTCTCTCTAAACACTTTCCTCTTTAAACACAGACTATAAATGCAACCCAAAATCAATATAAATCTGCCATTCGTGCCATTATTACAATTTCGAACATTCGTCGTAACTTATTAGTTTGCACATAAGCGCGGTGAAGTTCAACAAACTCGAGAAACCCTAAAGGGCATTCGATAACCGAAATAAAGGACCAGAAATGCAACCAACAAAGTAGACGCTGCGGCCAGTAACTGACCTTCTCAATGCAACCGGTTTTGTATTCACAGCCTCATCCCTTTCCCCGTTCCCTGTCGCTCCGTACAACCCGGTATTCCTTGCTCGGCATTCACCGGATCGTGTAACAGCCGCACCACATCTTTCCCAATGTATCCCTTTACCTTGCAAGAATGAACCGCACGATTTGCTCTCCGAGCTATTCGCGTGTCTCTTACGAAATCGCGCGGCGCACTCGTGAATGCGGAACCCTCTCTCCGCGTATGTCACTTCCAAGCAAGACGCGCGTGACTGTTGACACCGTTATTTCTGTTGACAATATAATCTGAGTCACTTAGAAATGCCTAAGGTCAGCACATATTTTTCACGCCGATGATGTTCAAGGACTTGTTTATTGAAAGCAAACCGCACAAATTCTGTTCTTTTCAATATATATACGTGACAAGAAACTTGTTTTAAATATTACACAATATCTCGTGCGCGAATAGCGTATCTCTCAATGAATTCTTCATCAATTTTATATTGAAATAAGAATATATCAGTTTAATTTCGCAGAAGAAAAAAAAAGATAAGATATAATTATATACGCAGGTTTTTGGCGGAGACACTATATAAAACGGTATCAACAATCGTTCGTCTTACCCTTTGTTTCTTTTCTCACAGTCAATGTCAAGACAGCTCACACTCGAGGATCCGATTCAAGCAGTCACTTCCGTGCGAGAATGTCAGTTTGTGAAAATCGCGTCGCGCGCGAGAAGAGAAACCCTACGTACGCTTTTATCTCGAGAACGAAGCACATCAACCGGGACGTGACTCGATTCGAGAATAACGCGTCAGAGAAAAGCGCGGCAGAAAATGGTAAAGGAAAATAAAGAGCGCGAGTTAAAAATCGTCGAGAAAACGCGCGCACCAACCAAAACACAACTCACCGCGTGAGGCTTCGGCGCGAACTGACGTTCCGACCGGCTGTGCCGAGCCTCGAGAGAGAGAGAGGAGCCGGCGACGATAGAAGGCGCGCGATTGGCCGAGGCGCCGGGTCACGATTGGCTCGCGGTCGACCGCGAACTTCTCTGTGTATAAATCGGAGCGACCTGACCGCGAACGTGAGAGAATGACATTGTTAGTTGTCAAAACCTCTCCGAGGAACCGACCAAATCTATTACGTAAGTTTTCTCGTAACGACAGTCTCTAGTTCACCAATCGATTCGAGAGATCAAGAGTTTTACCTTCGGAATTACCTGACAATAAATTGTTGACTTTATCGGAGTCGAGCATATATGGACTTTCCAAGTGCGCGACATTCCGGGATTGAATAATGCTGTGATATTTTTTGTTTCTAACGTTACGCAATTGAACATTCTCCTAAAACAAGTCCGATAATGCATTTGTTTTTTTTTTTTCAAAGAATCTCAGCAAAAAATAATGCTCAGCACATTAAAGATTCAACATTTATGTGAGCGAAGATATTAATAGAATCCGGCGTATACGAAGAAATACAACTTAAATTATTCAATTTAAGACTCCCGTTGCCTTCGAAGATTCAAAAACCTTTGCGACAAAAAGGTTTCGTTGCGCATTAAATTGAAGCGAGCGGCATTGTCGCACATCCGTGACTTTGAATATAATGTGGCACAACCTTAGCAAATGCAAAACGCGACAGCGCACGAAATCCTCGGTCTGCTGCATCTCTGACTACGTTTCCTGCGCGAAATTAAAATATGAAAGAAATACATGTGCGAAAAAACATGGCCTTCGTCACCTTCGGTGACCGATGAAAATCGATGTCGCGTCGCGACATTTTTGTCATTGCAGAACACGAAAATACTCAACGGCGTATTTGTTCTATGTTTTTTTTGTGAAACGCAATGCTACTTCATTTTTTTTTTTTTTTTTTTCATCAAATCTTCGTTTGGTCTTGCTCTATTTATAGATAATCCTTTGTATCACGGTAGCGTAAAATATGTGCACTTTGAAATTTTCATTGTGTATGAAAATAGCGGACCTATATATGTTCCGTGCAATTGTATTTTGAAGATAAGCGCCGGTTTGTGAATGCGTGTTACGCGAGTTTGTACCAGGTCTCTCGCTCGGAAAACAATGCGATACGTGCATAAAACGACAGAACTCGGCAGATTAGGAAGAATGTATTATGCGCTGCACCCGCGCTTACAAAAGCTCCTCTCGTTCAAATCCCCGGGAGGGGTTTCTCCGGTACCTTCCAAATCCTATTTTGCGGCGGCTTTCCCATTCGACTCGTCGCGACGTTAAAAACTTTCGAGACTACCGAGGCGGACAGTTTGTCGGTTTTGGCTCGAGTCGCCAGTCGGAAAAAGCAAGAGAAATGTGCGCACGGAGAATCTAGTTGGACCTTAATAAAAACACAACATGCACGCGCGTGTGCGGCAGAAAATCTCGTAAATTGCTCTCAGTGGATCTATTCCACGCTTCTTTGTGTCTCGAAAGTCTCGGCCGAACCATCGATGCCAAGCGCTGATTTTCCTAAAACACGTAACCAAACGTGACGCAAACTCTCTCGTGAATTTTTACACGCAAATCTCTTCAAAAAAAAAAAAGTTGCATCTTTGCAACATTTTTAATTTTCGTTAATATGCAAATTTCATTCTCATTAATATGCGATTTTTTATCCTCATTAATAATTGTTTATCCTTGATATTTTTCAGCACTATATTTAAACGAAGTTAGTCACGTATTTCAAACTTTTTATTCAACGTTTATTTGTCTAGACGGTGTTTACTGAAAGAGAAAAAATAGAACGTCCCAATTTCCATTTCCTCACCTGGTATTTTCAAGGCAGATAAAACTCAATTGCGCGCTAGTACAGACACACACACGCACACCTAACCGAGCTACCGAATAGCGTCAACTTCGCTAACCGTTGACATGTAACGGCACTAATTTTGAACGTACGAGACTTTTCGTACACGCGAATCTGCACACACGAACACCACATCTACCCCCCATGTCGAGCGCGTTTATTGTTTGCGTCACTCGTTTCTGCTCGGCTGGTTAATAACGAGCAAGCGAGCTCATTGTCCCTGAAACTCCTCGTCATTGATGCGGATTGCCTACCATGGCCGCGGACAGCGGCCATTAATTTTGCATGGCTGTCGAATATCATTGACTTGAAGTGAAAAAAAAAAAAAGAAACTATTAGAATAACAAAACATTTATTTGACATAAAAAAAATAAAACAAAATATTAAAAATTCTATGTAACAAGTACGACAATAAAACAAAAAGTTTCATGTGCAAAACGGAAGTAACGATATCGTAATTTGTAATAAAATAATAAAAAATTGTTTTAATATAAAACCTATATTATTACGGAAAGACCTCTGTATATAAATAAAAACTTTTCCCTAATAAAAAGACAGAATTATTAAACTAAACAGGACTTTGACATCCTCTGGATATAGGAGTGAGATATATTTTTTATGTGCAATCTAAATAACATATGTGATAAGATGTGATAAGAATAAACCAATTTCAAAGTGTTCTGTTCAAGATTGGAAAGAGTTTACGACGTCGTTTACGACGAATATCTCTTTCACAGGAAAAAAATCACATAAATCAATCTTTATAACTGACATATTTTTTGCACGAGAGTTTTCAGGTTTGCATATAACTGTTAAGTAAGAATATACAATCTAAACTTTATTTGTCGTGCGGAAGTGCAAGCGCGCGCGATTTCGCTTATCATGATCATCGCGTCCGCGCGGCGAAGCCGACGGGCGAATCCTGTTCCACGCTTTGCGAGTGCACTTGACATATCTCTGCGAGATCTTGCGCGCGGTTTAGATGCCAGACGTCGTTCCAGACATTCTTAACTGGACGTAATTAAACGGTGAATCATTAAAATGATGTTTAAGACACATCGTTGCAGAATTTACAGAAGAGAAAGAATGCTAGCTCATACATACAAATGATCGAAAAGTAGCCGACCGGCACAAACAAAAAGACCCGGAAATTGAATTCTTCGGTCTCAGCAACTGACTCGCGCCCAAATTCTTTTTGGTTCTATTTCTACAAATATATCTGACTTAAAATATTTTTAAATAATATTTTTAACACAAAAGAAAAGAACCCAAGTAGAAATTTTCATAACGAAAGATTAAATAAAAAACTGAATAAATTTCCTAATTACGAAAAGTTTCAATTATTGTTAAGAATTTTGAAAACACATCGTCTTGAAATGTAACATTACTTTTTCTTTGCCGCAGTTTTCTTCTTTCTCTCTTCTGTTAAATTGTTAAACAAAATTCAAGTTTATAATTTTGTTAGCATTTGAAAGCATTTTTGATTTCGATATTAAAATTGCAATATATCTATTTCACAACTAGTACTTCAGATTAAACGCAATTATCGTAATTACGCGGCATCACTATAAGTTCCATTTTTGCATCTCGTGGACACACCTGATCTGTGAGTCCGTACACTTTTCTAAGGTGCGTAATTAATGGCAAACTGCGCGCGCAGCGCACAGCAAAGCCATCTCCGTTCGGTGCATCACCGTGGCAAGTTCACGCGTCGCAAAATGACGATGCGACGCGGCGAAACGCCGCCCGGTGAAGTTCTCACGGGAATATTCACGTGCGCGCAACTTCGCCTTCGGTGCACCTTCTTCAGGTCTGTATCTACCGTAGATTCCATCGCCTCGAGAAATTCTAGTCGAACAATTTTCTGTTCTGATCTGAGTAAAAAGTTAAGCAATATTTTTTGAAAAGAAAAAAAAAACTTAAAAGAAAACTTCTCTAAACTTCATCTCGAAATTCGTGCGCGAGCAATTCTTTTGTTCTAAAATTTAAAAACTTGTAACTTCAAGAAAGATCGTCAGAAACACAGCAAATACATTGGCGGTTACATTTTCATAAGTTTGTTGTATTTCTCAGAAAAACACAACGAGAGATAAGCGCGACGTGATGAGAGAAAGAAATAAGGAAAAACTGATTCGAGAGATCTAAAAAAAGTGATAGTACAGCGTTGCTAAGCGCGTGTTGTGTTATGCATGACCGGGGTGTTAGATATAGAGAGTAAAAAGAGAGGAAGAGAGAAAGAGAGAAAGAGAGAGAGAGAGAATGCACCTTAGGTCGCGGAATGCATGAGACTTGCGCTAGCACTTCTGTCGTGTGGGCTTTTCTGAACAGACAATGCAACCTGACATCCGCCACTTTACATCATTCTCCATGCAAAGTCGGCTGCTTGCACTTTTAATGTCCTAAGTTCTTTTGCTATCTGCCGCGATCCGACACGCAAGTATCTAACACACTGTGACGTACATATGAATGTATGATTTTTTATGCATCATACAACCGAGTCTTTAATTATAATTTTTATCTTGTCTCATAATATATGCCTTTCTTAAACAAGCGTGACGATAGAACAAAAGTCCGTTTCCCGCTACTTCTCTCGAAGCCTCGAAGCGCGCGTTTGTGTGTGTGTGCGTGTACATAAGTGCGACGTTACAATTAATGTCACAGGAAAGAACAACGCGGACAGGTATAGAATTTAAACGTCTCGTCCTTGCACAGTTTTTATTCGCATATCAGCAAACATCGGGTGCATTAACGAACTTCACGACCCAGAATATTACGCGGCGTTATATTAATTTAGTTTGTAATTTCAGCCTCCGTGGAACGGAGGCGAAGGGAGTTTGCACCGCGCACACATAATTTTCGCGGCTACAATTACTGTTGCAATTAGCGCAAGTGCTTTTGTTAATCTCGACAATTATTTAGAGTAAGCTTTATAGGCATAACAATTTTTATGAAGAATTTAGATATTATAGCGGACAAAAGCAATCTGGTTTTCTTTTTCTTGAAATATTTGTTTTCGAATTCATTACATTAGCGCTGCTGACGTTTGTCCCAGTTTGTTTTCAAAGTTAATTTTCTTCTTTTACTCTTGAGGAAAGTGAAACTTCC